TGAATGGATAACTCTTATTTTCTTCTAATATTTAAAGTGAAACCATAGGAGGTATAGGGGCAGGTTTCCCTTAGTTTTTAATCTACCTTGAAAATTAGGTCATCTGGTCAGAGGGCCTTAGTGGAACATGGCAGCAAGGCTGAATATAGTTATAAAATAATAAGTAAAAAGCCTTAGAAACCACCTTGGCCTGGGTGCAATGTTTCATGACTGCCAATTGAAAGAAAATTGGCAGTATTTCAGGACACTAAGCTCACACATCATGGCTTGTTTGATTTTGGCTTAATGTATTCTGTAAACCCAGCTTAATGGAATGTGGGAACCAGGTTTGTGTAGCTTACTCATTTGAACAGGAAAGGGGAGATGGTAGGAATGACAGAATTTGTTTTAAAAATACAGTGGAGTTTGATCCTGTGCTCTGGCAACAACTGTTGGAGATTATGCGTTTGTGTCTGCACGGAACAGATACAGTGCGGCAGTTTTTGTATCCATATGCCAGAAATATGACATAAATAGATCAACACAGGGTTTTCTCTTGTTCTTTTCTTTTGCTGCCATCTGGAATTTTTAAAAAATGTTTTAAAATAGCAGCCCTTTATACATTTGGTGTCTGTTCTTTGATTGGTACTGTAAACAGGTTCATTCTTCTGATCCAACATATTGGATCTGTGTCTGCCAATCTTCTGCTTGCTGTGACACCTTTTATTTCTCTTAGCTAAAACTGGAAACAAGCTGTTGCCATGCTACTCACAAAGATTTACTTCTAGCTTATAATTATTATTGCCCCCTATGTAACTACCTGAGTCACAATTCTGAGTGTACTGTACTGCATGGAGAGATGCAATAGATTGCCACATTGTTCTGTTCACATCTCTGCATTGGAAGGTGCTGACACAACTGGATGCAATACAGAGAAGCAGATGAAATTATCTTTACCTGCTGCACTTGTCTATAGGAGTTGATTGGAAGAAAGTAAACTGTATTACTTCATACCTGCAGTTGGTGATATGGTTCCTATACATACAGTAATGCCTCCAGGTCCTCCTTTAATGCCACCCAAGTCTCTCTATCCCTCCCTAAACTAAAAAAGACTGCATTTCTTTATTTTGTTTTAACTCTTGGATTGGAAAGCAGTCGACATCCAGCTTCTCTGCTTTTCTTTTGCCCAGAATGCCTTTGGGAGTCACATGAGCCCATAGCATTTTTCAGAAAGGAAAAGAAGAGAAGAATGCACCTGGAGGCTGGAACACTAGTCAGAGCTGAAAGAAAACAAGCATTCTCTGCTTGGAGTATTGAGGAAGGGAACTGTAAATGACCAGTGGGTGACCTTTGGGAGTGGACTTAGTAAACCTATGGAAGCAACAAAGATTGTGGAAGGAGGCTAGATGGGGGGGGGGGGGGGGGGGGGGGGGGGGGGGGGGGGAGGGGGGGGGGGGGGGGGGGGGAGGGGGGGGGGGGGGGGGGGGGAGGGGGGGGGGGGGGGGGGGGGAGGGGGGGGGGGGGGGGGGGGGAGGGGGGGGGGGGGGGGGGGGGAGGGGGGGGGGGGGGGGGGGGGAGGGGGGGGGGGGGGGGGGGGGAGGGGGGGGGGGGGGGGGGGGGAGGGGGGGGGGGGGGGGGGGGGAGAGAGAGAGAGAGAGAGAGAGGGATGGATGGATGGATTAACAGTCTCATAGCTGGCATGTGACAAAGTTAAGCATGGGTTAAAGGCTTGAAAATTGTATTTAAAAGCTTTGTTCACATTACACATATAACTGAGTCATGAGGAGGCAAGGATGTTATACTAGCACCTTAACCCATACAGCTGATCTAGACAACTAAAATGCGGAGGCAGGCTGAAACTGTTTTCAAAGTCCTTGAGAAGTTCCATGAAAAGAGAAGTTCTCAAGCAGCTCTGTGTCTTTTTAATCACTAAAAAGAGGCAGAAAGGAATGGAGTACATAAGCTCATACCCAGATTCCCTCCATAGTGGCACTGTCTCTGAATGTGTCTTATCAAAATGGAGGGAGCTATCAAGCTGACTGCTATGGATTTTGGCCTTGGGCCCAGTACTCTTCAACATTTTTATTAATTCCTGGAATAGTTGAGCTAAAGGAAATGCTCATTAGATCTGTAAATGACCTCAAATTGGAAAACTGATATCTAAGAAGGCATAAACAAAACTCAGAATCTCTTAATAGGTTGGAGAAATGGGCTGAAGATAATAGAATGAACTTTAGAAGAGATAGATGCAATGATCTTTGCTTATGAAAAAAAAATCAAATTCACAGGTATAGAATGAAGGATACCTGCCTTGGCAATACGTGTAAAAAAGATACTGGACTAGTAGCTGATGACAAACTGAATACAAGTCAGTAGTATGACATGGCTGCTAAAAAGGCAAAGGCAAGTGAGGCTGAACCAACAGAAGTATTGTCTCCTAATCATGGGAATTAATAGTTCCACTTTATGCTGCATTAGTCACATGCGACCTTGAGTATTATGCCCATTTGTGTCCACAACACTAAGAATAATTCAGACAAATGATCAGAGGATTGGAAACTAAATTGTACAGTGAGAGATTGAGCCTACTCAGTATATTTCTAGCTTTGAGAAAATAGGATTGAAAGGAATATGATGGCCTGAATAGTCCATGACCTCTACTCTAGCATCCCAAGTGCAAAACAATGGAATATGAGCATTAACTTACAGGAAGGCACATTCCTGTTTAACATTAAAAAAATTCCTAACAATAAGAACAGTTTAACAGTGGAATCAGTTTGAGAGGAAAGAAGGATCCCATTTACAGGATACGTTCAAGCAGAGGCTGAATAGCCATCTGTCTGGAAAGTTTCACTCCTGCATTGTGTAGGAGTTAAATTTGATAGCCTAAATACTCCAACTTTATGATTATGTAAGAAAGGAAATGGTAAGGGAAAAACAGATCAAACTGCTGCAAAGATATTGTTTGGGGGCATCTGTGTCAGGTAATTCATGTGTTAAAATAGTTCTTAAATGGGGACTGTGGTAACTAGTCAATAAAAATAATTAATTCTCCTTTCAGCACCTGCGTTTGTCCTTAAATGAAAATGGTCAATGTCACGTCCAACATCTTTGGTTCCAGAGCATTTTTGATATGCTGCGGCATTTTCATATGCACCCCATCCCTCTGGAGTCAGGTGGTTCTGCTGACATAACCCTCCGCAGCTATGTAATGGCCCAGAGTCCATTGCCAGGTGGGTTAAGTTCTCGTACTTGCAGTTTTACTTTGTAACTGGGCAAAGCAAAGAACAAAAACCAAGCAATACTTAAACAATACTTGAGGCATGTTCATGTGCAAAAAAACAAAAAACAAAAACCCAGACCTAATCAGAGAATGGAAATGTAGGTTTTACTAAGTAAAGATATATTCAAAAAGGCTGTATAAATATTATTTGGACCTATTTCACAGCATGCATGCATACACACACCCATTCATATCCATCCTGGTATTCACTTCCAGGGTAAGAAGCATTATGCAGAGTTCAGAAAAATAGTGGGAAATAACTGGCAAAAGAAGTTAATGCAGAACGTAAGAGGCAAAGAAACTAAATCTACACCATTTGCTATACATCTCCATCCTTTTAGTCCTTGCAAACCATTGTTGCATTTTCCATGCTCATACACAGTTTATATATTGTTTTTTGTTTTTTAAATGTCTTAGCTCTCTCTTTCTGAGTCTTTCATCAACTTCATCTAATATTACTTTCTTGGTGTTTCCTTCCTTTGACCCATTTATTCTTCTTTCATACGTGTTTTGTAGTTCAGTCCTCCTTTATTCTCTATATGGCCATACCGCTTCAAAGTACTTCTGTAGTACTGTACTTCATTTTGTATTCATTCATCATGAATACAAAAATACATTCTTGGACCCTATCTTAATAACTTATTTGTACTATCTCTTAAGTACAGATAGTTCTTGGTTAACAACAACAATTGGGACCAGAATTACCGTCACTAAGTGACGCAGTTGTAAACTACAATGTCACATGACTGTGCCACTTAGCAACAGCAATTCTGGCAGCCTCAGTTGCTGTCATAAAGTGAGGACTGCGTGGGTTGTTAAACGAAGACCTCATGTGACTATGACTTCCAACTTCCTGTTGGCTTCCCTTGTGGGAAGCCAGCAGGGAAGGTCGCAAATTGTGATCACGTGACTGCAGGACGCTACAATGGCCAGAACTCCAAGGACCAGTCGTACCCACCACTCGTTCAGCATTGACATAAGTTTGAACGGTCACTGAATGGTCATTAAACAAGGACCACCTGTAATCTAATTGTACTGCATTAAAATGTTAAGTTCCTCCTGATATAATTCATCTCCCACTGCCATATAACAAAGTGGGCAAAAGCACATTTTATACATAACCATTTTAACTTCTTTTGACAAATAGCCATTCTGGGTAATAGACCATATACTACCCATAATTTTTCTATCCATATTTGCCCATCTTAAAATTTTTCCATTTACTCATTCTACACAGGCAAAATTTTATTTAATCATTCTAATGTTTCCCCACATATGTACAACCTGCAATTGCTCACTTCATTTTCTCCATCAAATACAACTATCTTGTTTTTAGTATGTTAACTTTGAGATCCATATTCCTTGTTGCATCATGCAATATATGCAACATTTGTAGCGAATTGTTCTGTTTTCAGCCAACAACATAGCATTATTTGCTTACAAAAATACATATTCATATGCTTAGGCAGTATACTTCTAATGTCATCACAAGCATTTCTTATACATTTATCCATATACTGTATGCATTAAACATCCTTGTCTTACTATACTCATTGTTGAACCATTTGTTAAATGGTCCATTTACTCACAAATGCTTTATTTTAATCATATAGCATTTTTGTAGCGTTCAACAAACAACTTTCTACTCATATTTGCACAAAACAGCCCAACTCACCTCACCTTGTTGTGGGGAAAATAGGAGGAGGAAGGAGTATTAATATGTTTGCCACCTTGAGTTTTTTATAAAAATAAAGGCTGGATAAAAAACAACAAAAAAAATCCTATAATTTAAGCGTACTCACTTATAGAATCATAGGATTGGAAGGCACCTTGGAGGTCTTCTAGTCCAACTCCCTGCCCAAGGCAGGAGTCTTCATTACCATCTTGGACAAATGGTTAGCCAATATTTTCTTGAAAACCTCCAGCGATGGAGCACCCACAACTCCAGGAGGCAAGCTGTTCCACTTCATCATACACTTTCTCTAAATGATGTTTCAGTAAACCTTTTTTCTCACACGCATATACTTAACAGTAACGTTAAGCGTTAGTGGAGCAAAAATCTGATCTGCATGGCCCATGCCTAACACTTTTCACATTTTATTCACTGCCATCTCTCATGTCCTTTCATTTAGAATTCTACCAAACACTTTCATAAGCATGCTGAACAAACTAATCCTCCAAACTAAATTTTGCATTTCACTTCTTATTTTTCCTTTGTAAAGAAAACAATGACCTTCCTCTAATTGTCAGGCACAGATGCAGTCTTCACACGCTTGTTAAACAAGTCATACAGTTACTCCATAAGCAGACTACATCCATATTTTAACATTTTTCTAGTTAAGAATCAACACATGCTGGGATAACCCCTTGGTTGGTTTACTGTAACATACTCGCTGTGGGATTGCCTTTGGAGACAATTTGGAAGCTGCAGCTGATACAGAATGGGGTTGTCAGACTCCTGGTAGAACAACTCTTCCATTGCAGAATACGCTAATTCTAAGGCCACTGCGTTGGTTGCTAGTTGTTTTTTGGCCTGGTTCAAACTGCTGGTTATCACCTATAAAGCCCTATGCAGTGTAGTACCAGGGTATATCAGGCACTGCCTTGCCAGGATCAAATCCGCTCATCCAGTTTGAACATCTGAGGGCCAGCTGAGGATCCATCCCTGCATGAAGTTGTGTACGGGCTGGGCAGCAGGCATTCTGGGCAGCTTCCACCCTTGACATCCTTCCCCTGTGTCTGGCCCCTTTCTTCTTTGAATTTTGCAAGGCTATTACAGCTCTACTACTCCAGTGTGCTTTCTTCCCTAGTTCATTGTGGGCATCTAAGGTATTCTTATTTATTGTATTGTGGACTATTTTATTTGTTGTGTTTTGTGGTTTTATCCTTGTTTGTCATACAGAATCTTAAATGATTGGAGTAATTTATAAACATGGTATAAATAAATAACTCCACCCACTTTTAATGGGTCCCTCCTTCCTTCACTTTTCCAACCTTAGCCAATTTAAAAATTAACTTTAATTTTAATTTACTTCACTAAAAATGGTGGCAGAAGGGGGCTTGGTAGGCATTAAAAGCCTTGACGGGTATAGATTCTGCATACTACAGTATATCAAACCATTGATACTCAAAACACAACAGCAATTTATCCCAATTTTAATAAACTTGATTGCTGCTTTGTATTTCATTGGTATCTAATTCTAGTTTCACTTTTTTGTTGGCATCTAATTCAAATGTTTTATTTCACTTTTAGGTTTTAATATTACAATGAAATCCCATTCTGGATGGAAAGAAACAAGAACAATTATTGCTAATTTAGCATCCTTGATTTACTTGATGCTATGCTGGGGGTAAACCCAGCAAACAATTGTGTTCTTGCTTAAAGAATGTTAGAGTCTTCACTTACATTTAAATTTAAGTTAAATTTCTATTAAACTTGATTTTAGATTATTGAGTTTTAAGAAGTGGGAAACTTATTAAAACCTGTGTAAATAAATAAATGCAAGGTGACATTAGAAAAGAAACCATAGTATTAAAACCAACAGAAATAAATGAAACAACTCATATGAAAATGCAGTTGGTAGGAAATTTTGGGAAAGTATATGGTAGTTGGAATCTTCATAGCACAGAAAGCTGATGTTTCTACTAGTTTCAGCAGCCTTTTTCTTTCTTCTTCCATTCAGAGCTCACCCCATCTCCAGCTGTGGCTTCCCAGCAGCCCGCTTGCAGAAATGACCTCCAGTCTCAACATTATTTTTCCAGCTTTGTTCCAGTCACTTTTCAGCCAGCATCTCCATCAGAGGGCACTACATCTTCCTCTTCTTCCTCAGCCAGCCATTCACTTTACCATAGGATGGAAGGGACCCTGAGTGCCCGAAGCCGAAGTAACAGCACAGAGCGGTTGTTCGATTCGGCTGCTGTTGGCACAGAAGATTACCATGAAAGTGAAGGTTCACGCAACAGAACCAGAGCAGTTGAAAACCAATACTCTTTCTACTGACTTTGCTGATTGAGTGGTTTTCAGTGCATCCCTCTCATTTGGATCAGTAGTTTTGGAGAAGAGAATTGAGAAGCTTGTTGAGGTCACCTCCTTGTTGGCTACTTCCATATTGCATTTATTATTGCTTTTCTCCAGGCCTGTGAATATGTGTATAATACCTCCTTGCATTCTTTCACAGTAGAAAGTAAAGATAGTTCTTTCTGTTCCTGAGGAGGTACAGTGGTGGTAGACTTCACACAGCTACAGAACTTCAGAGTGAAACACAATCTTTCTCTTTTACTTTCTTTTTGGGTCCAGGAGCACAATCCAGAATTATGGAGAAAAATCTGCATCTCTATGGAGTGAGGTTATTATGCCTGTTTGTTTCTATCCTGGCTGTCTGATTTGGATGAAATCAGAAAGTTAGAATCAGGAAGTGGTAATTTAAAAAGTGAATTGAAGCTGGGCAATCTAGTAGCTGATTGTTGCTAAAAGTTCATATTGCCCTTTAATCAGCAATGTCAAGGTTTGTACTTAGAGGCCAATGCTGGAAACACTAGCAAAGTGATGTTTTGTATGCATCCTCCCTGTAAATTGATTTATTTGTTCATCTTTTAACTGTACACTCACCCCATATTTTACATCCTTGGAAACAAAATGGTAAGTGTCTGGAGTGCAGTTATGTAAGTTGCATACATAAGAAGCTGCCTAACTTGCTGTGAGAACACAGGTCCATCCAGCCCAAATGTATGAAATGTCACACCTCTCCAAAAATCAGCACCAACTATTGCCTTTCAGTGTTGATGGACCACAGTCAGTATCTTGACTCCACTTCAGATAGTTTAGCTGTTCTTATTTTGTACCACTGTGCTTCACAAGACATGTCACAATGCTTTTTCCACCAAACTAATTCCAATTAATATTGATTGGTAGAAAGAGGATCTGAAGGCTTCCAGCTTTACAGTTGGTGCAGATTTTATTTTTGGACAGATACAATCAATTAGTGGATGTAACACCACATGTTCTGAAAGTTGGTTTATAAGTTTCTATTTGCTGATAGCTATCTAGCATTTGCATTAAATATGATTTACAAGAATGAATCTTTGTTACAACCATATTGAGAATGGGCAGCTTCTCATTTGTGACATGTAACTTCCTTTTAGTAAATCCTCTATTTTTGGAAAGCATTTAGTTTCAACTTAATTTGAGTAGCTTTCATTATTGGATTTTCCATGTGATTTGAAGAAAAATATAATATTAGTAAGTGCATAATGTTGCCTTTTAATTTTAATTTGGCATTACCACTCCTTCCTCAATGAAATGGCAATTGTTTCAATTAAAGAAGAACCCCTAAATATCCTTTGAACTGAAAAAAAAGTCTGAGTTTACATAAAAAAACTTTGAAATATATTCTTCAAAGTAAGTAGTGGCATGGAGCACTGGAATTCTGTGAACTGAGAGCCCTAGGAAAAGTTTTATTTGATATTTTAGATATTTTGGAAACCTCTGATATAGTGTATTCCATCACTTAATCTAAGAAAATAAAACTTGCTTGTAACAAAGAGATAGAAAAATGTAGCCATTTTCCAATAAATCTGTAGTTGGCTAGTTTGCAGAATTTTCCTTATTGATTTACATTAAAATGATTACATAGTTCTGTATTAAGACAACACTTCAATATCAAAGTCACTAAAGTACTAGTAAAGAAAGTTGAAAGCAAGCAAAATTTAATCTGAAATAATAGCCGTTATTATTTTATAAAATACATATAAACCAGAATAGCTGTGAATCCACTGAGTTGCAAGGGATTAGAGATTGGTGATGGGGAGGAAATCACTATGCTGTCCTAAGACCTGTGCTTAACACTGAAATTCAAATCAAACCACAGTACTGTATTAAATTCAAAACACAACTAGTGCAATGCTACCCATTTTGGCTAAGTACTATATTCAGTAGATCTTATGGACTGCAGACTAAGCCACTGTTAGTAGTTCACAAGTTAAAGATGGAAGAGATGCAGCCTAAGGCTGCTAGACCTAATTACAAAGCTAGTGACGTTATGCCCTGAATGCTCAAGCAGAGTTGTCATTGGCAAATGACTAGAGATAAAAAAATAGATGTGCCCAGACATACATGTGTTAGTTGCAGGCTCATTGCTTTTGCAGAGGTGTTGTGAACTGCCCAGAGTTTCACCCTGGGACCACGCCTCAATTTTCCAGTATAAAAAATATCTGGTGAACCTCCATAATACAGTACCTTAGATCAATTTGGATATTTAAAGCATTACCGTAAGTTCAAAGCATACAGCCATGGCTATATATGTATGTTGTGGGTTTTTTCAGATTGGTTTTACATTTGTATGCTGCCCATCATGAGTTGGGCACCCTTATACATCCTTTAATTAATTAATTAAATAAAAGTAATTGTAAAAAAAATAATGTTAAAAAAATTCTAGGTGAAAGGAATAAATTGCTACAAAAAAATAAGGTTCCTATACATCTGTGAAAGCATTTTTATGTAACAATAAACCAGAATTGCTGGGTTATCCAGATTTAATGTGAAAGAACAATGTGGTAATGCTTGGAATTCACTTTTTTCTGCTTTATTCTTCTTCCCCCCGAGCTATGACTAATATCTAATTCTTGGGTTATAAACCAATAATAAATCAAGATTTTTGCAGAGTGTAACAGAGCTGGTATTGAATTAAATATGAAATAAAGGAGAAAAAGAAAAAGGGATTGAATCAGAAAAAGAAAAAAAATACTAAAATATTAATATTACTTTAAACTTTATTATCAATGTTAGATTAACAGTTCCAATAAAGAGACTGTGTTGAAATAAATTTTCGGATGATTTAAGGATTAATAAAGATTTATTTTAAATGGTACAAAATTGTTAGTTATCAGGTGATGACTGTTGAGCATTTAATTAAGTTAGGTATTATTAAAATGATTGTTTAATCAAACAAAGCAACAACTTAAAATCCGAAACAAAAGTGGGGAACCCAGTCTTTCCAGGTGTTGCTAATTTATAACTCCCAGCATCTCTAAGCCAGCATTGTCAATAGTGAGTATAAGGGCTGAAGCTGGCAGGGCAGGAACCAACATTTCTGAAACTATACAAAATAATCTAAACATTGAGAAGATAGTTTCCATGCTCAAAGTGGAAGACAGAAAGAAAAGGCCTAGAGCTAGAAGTAGGCAGAGAGAAAGAAAGGGAGAGTGCTTGATTTTGTGTTCTGCCATAGGCAGAGCTTCATATATATGGTTTGTTTCTTGTCTGTAATAAAGCAACCAATCTAGTTTGTGAGCTTCAGTTGTTAGCAGGTTCCTGAGAATGGGGTTAAGTATTTGGAGAGCTGAGATTTATTGCTGAATCTGGCATGAAATCAGACAGTGAAGGATGTTAGGAATTTTAATTCAGTAGTATCTGGAAGGCTATAGGTTCTGCAACTCTGGCCTAAAATAAACCAAATTCATTTTATTTTGGACACTATTCTCTGTTTCTTAGCTTTTGGCTTCATAAGGAAACTTGGAAAAAATTATTTGCTATGAGCAGTTAGAATGCATGGATGGGTAAGTGTATGTCTCTTTTAAAGAAACTGATAAAGACAAATGATGCTTCTTGAGCAACACAATACTGAAAAAATGCTGTCATGATTTTCAGAGCAAAACCCATATTTTTCCCTCTAAATAAAAGTATTATAGACTCATACATGGAACATGATATAACACAAGGGAAATTTTTGAACACAGGCTTACTTTTCAGATTCTTTTTTCATTAAATAAATGTGTGCTCAAGGAAGCAATGATTACCTTCATAGACACCGTGATTACATTATTCATGTCATTTGTGTGATGATCTCATGACACACGTGATGTTATTGAGGCTCGTACCAAACATCTATGTTCTCCATAATGAAGAATCATTTGGTGGTATTAACCAGGTAACAAGAAAGTTACAGAATTTTATCATTTTAATTTTTTCTGTGCCAATTGAAACAATGGGGGGAAAGGGCTCCAAAAGCTGCAAACTGAATGTTAATTTGTAAATACAATTTTTTAAAAACTGTGAAAAAGTTTTAATGTGCAGTAGAATAAATTTTATTTACAAACTTGTAAAGGATCTGGAAAAATAATGGTTCAGCTTTTTTCTTTTTTCCTTTTTTTGGGGGGGGAGTTGAAAATGAAGTCTTTAAACACTTGAGTGCATTGAAAATACTATAAAAATGTAAATGGACATTACAGGACACATAATTACATCATAGTTTAGGCTGGTTTAGTAATCTTGGAAACTCTAATTCAGTAGTAGTGTGCAGGAACAAGGGAGGCAATGGTAAGGATGTTTTTCTATGAGTATTGTGGAGATCTGCAGAACATGTTGAAAAATTGTTATTTGTAAAGTTTTACTATTTTTGAAATCTTATTTCTAAGATTAAAGTATTTAAAAGGTCTGATAAGGAACATTTATAACATTCTTTTTGAATTGTGTAGTCCAGTGTAATAACATTCATCCTCACACACCATGTCCAATGGCAATGGTGAAAGTTGTGGCCTATAGTTCAGGCATAGATAGATGAATCAGATCCAGAAGCCCTACACAGAACTATGCCAAGACTATTTGCCACTTGAAACGGACCAAGATAACGTGTGTTCACATGACTCACTAAACCACAAACTAGTCAAATACAGCATGTTTTACAAACCAAACCTGTGTGACAGTCTGACTGAATGTATTATGTGCACATAGAAAATTGAGTAAACTATTAGTTAACCTTGGTAGCCAATTTGTGGGAACAAAATCAGTGCCTCCTGTTCCCAATCAGATTAGCATCTGATTCTTTAGTACTGGAACTGGATACTGTCCTTTACTGTACCTGAGGACAATATGCTAACTTGCAGATAGCCAGATCTGTCCTCTGACTTGGCCATCATTTGCTCATAATTTTGCCTAGTGACTGCTTGCTGTCCCACTGAACTAGATGTTGAAATAAAGCAGTAGTGGACCAATATGAACCCCATCAGTACAGCAGTGTAATCATTTACATGATGCTTTAAGAAGTGCATGAACGTAGCTGGTTGCCTACCTGTCTCCTTTCACATTAGCAGTTGTTCAGTTATGACAAACAGCACCTCCTAGCTCAAGAAGAGGGTGTGGCTGTGCACCTTGGTACCCATCACCTGAGGCGGCTGCCTAAGGGTCAGGACAAGTCTCCACTAAATTGGAGAAAAATACATGGATTTTAAAAACGGAGGAACAGATAAAAATAATATTGGTGTTTGTGGGCATCCACTCCACCAGAGAAAATGTTGATGTTTTCCAAAAGCAAACTCTAGTTCCTTCAAAAAGATATGAGGTAGTAGTCTTGGGGAACTTCATCTCAAAATCTGTTAGACGACAAACTGCCGAGCATTCCTTCCAGAAATTTTCTTAATTGTCTTCCTAACCATTTTGTCCTTTAGAAGATGGAAGGTATAAGAGGATCAACTATCCTTTTAACCAAAAGAGAAAAAATTGGTTAAAGAAGTGGAAGTAGCAGGAACACAGGAAAGTTATCAAGTAATGTGGGAATTCTTGATCTTAAGACAAACCAAAGCTGGGTGTAGTTGAACATATATCATGGACTTCAAGAAAACAGATTTTCATAAACTTGGAGCATATGGTAGGAGAATCTAATAGGATAAGGTGTTCAGAATTAGATGGGAATTCCTAAAAAAAGAAACACCAATACAGGTACTCCTTGACTTACAACCATTCATTTAACGACTGTTCAAAGTTATGATGGCACTGAAAAAAGTGACTTATGACCGGTCCTCGCACTTAAGACCATCACAGTGTCCCAGCAGTCAGGTGATCAAAATCTGGGCACTTGGCAACTGGCATGTATTTATGGCAGTTGCAGTGTCCCGGGGTCACGTGATCACCATTTGCAACCTTCCCAGCCAGCTTCTGACAAGCAAAATCAATGGGGAACTGCATGATTCACTTAATCACGGTGATTCACTTAATGACCGCTGCAAAAAAAGTTTCATTAAATTGGATGCAGTCACTTAAATTTCATTAAAATGATGCCTCACTTAACGACTGCACTGCTTAATGATGAATTTTCTGGTCCCTGTTGTGTTCATAAGTTAAGGACTACCTGTAATACAATTGCAAACAGTTCCAATTAGAAATGTTGGCACCTATTTTGTCTCTCTCTTCTCTGAAAGTTTCCACAAGGCAGTTGTGAAAAGGATGACACGGCAGAAATTAAGACTGAGGCTGACAGAAACATGGTCAGGTAATAACCTGGACTTTAAATTTCCAGTCGTTGTATCCTAGGATACTGAAAGATTATCCACATGGAGTAGCCAAAATGTTATGTATTATCCTTGAGAAATCTTAGGTAAATACCAAATGATTAGAGGAAGATGAAATGCCTTAACTTGAAGAACTACAGTCCACACCAATACCTAGAATAGTTCATAAAGGTCTGCAAGCACTGAAACAAATGTGGTGTTAACTGGATGTCAAGAGAAATTGTCAAAAACAAATCTTGGTAGACTAACCTCATCTCATATTTTTGATCAGGTAATTTTTTTAGTAGATTGTGGAAATACTCTTGACATAATATTTCTTTAATTCAATAAAACATTTGACAAAATATCCCATTATAATATAATTAACAATCTAATGAGAAATGGGTATATGTTTAGCTTGAAGATCATACTGAGTTTTCATGAATACTCTGTCATCAAACCATAATGTGTTATCAGGTAGGGTGTCACAGGGTTCACCCTGGGCCCTCTATTCTTCAATGGATGGAGGAAATGCTAATCAAATTTGCAAATGACAAAAAAGGGAAGAAAACAGTAATAGCAATTTTGAAAGGGCTTAAAATAAAATGCATTTTTCAATTAGGACTCAGAAATCAAATGCCCAGATATAAAATGGGGGACATTAATTGAGCAACATTATTTCTGAAAGAGATCTGGAGTAATAGTTAATTCCAAATCAAATATGAATCAGCAAAGTGATGTGACTACAACAACAACAGAAACTTCATTAGACAAAGCAGTTAGCAGTCAGAAAAATGGATAGAGGATTGCAAAAAGAATGTCTTACTTTCTAGCCATATCTATACCATTTCAGCTAATAGTGTAAATTGGAAGTATATGCCTGGAGAGAAGCTTGCATGCAAAGATTTCTATTTGCTGTGAAACCCTGCACAATGAGAAGTCTAAGCACACAGAAACCAATGTATGTAAATTTTCCTTCTTCAGAAGTTCATGCTCATTGCATAAATGCTAAGAGCAGGGTTAGTAAAGTAGCCAGGGATGTTATCAGAGATTATTTCACTGCATAAGCAAAACTTTTTTAAAAAAGGTTTGCTTCAGAATATTTGAAAGGCACTCATGTAAGCCTTTAATTATTCACTTACAGAAAAGCGGAAGTGTGCCTTTGAAATGCAAACTCAGGTTCTCAGCAATGTAGATTTTATAGCTATAGTGAAAAATAACTGAAAGAGGACCATAAAGCCTCTCTGTCAAGTGGGCTTCCACTACAATGTTAGTAAATTAAAACCCTAGTTTTGTTTACTCAACTCTGATGGAAATTTCATTAATGCAGAAAGAATTAAAATTAAGAGTAACAATCAGACACAGATGGAAATGTCTAAATATAGATAAGAATATTTAAAATTTAACATTAACAAAAACAAAAATATCTTGCTAATCTTCTGAAAAAAATTGATACATAGGCATAAAACATACACAATTCCCTAAACAATAAGTGTGAATATATTCTCTTATAGTAATGTACAATACTTATAAAAAACTAATTTGGCCATTGTTTAATTCAGGATTATGGTAATTACAGTTCCAGGAAAGAAAAAATATGGTACAGTTATGGACACTTTCACAAGAACCTTTATTAATTTTTATTCAGATCTGTTAATTTTGATTCAATTCTCTTGGAAATTATTGGAAATATTTAGTGTGGCAGCTACTGTACTTTATCAGCATAACTTGTGCACATGCCTCCCTCTTCTCCAGTTGTTTTCATAAACAACAGAATAAAAACTTCTAAAATTATAATAATTTCTGATTAACTAAATTAGGAGGGGGAAAGGTTTTATACTGTCAGCACTGAAACTGAGATGGGACTTAAATTACTGTATTCTCCTATCTCTTATTCTCTATTATCGGAGGATAGCTGTGTTAGTCTATGGCAGCAAAAAATCACAAGGGGTCTGGTAGCTCCTTTTATAATTCACAAACTAAAAGCTTTCATGAGCTTATGCTTTTTAATAAGATTTGTTAGTCAGAAAAGGTGCTCCCAGACTCCTGATATTTCTCTAGCCTTAATTATAATATACTACTTTTGGAAAAGAGGCATTTGCATTAAGAAATGGATAGTCTTGCACTGTGGTTGTTCTTCTGATCTAAAAGGTCATAAAATAAAGGGAAAGTTCTTAGAACATATATTCAATCTAATTAAAATAATTAACACTGCTGAATATTTTAGAACTGCACTAGTGCCATCTCATGGGGAAAAATGGGATTGTTCAAATTATGTACTTTCAGACAATCCTAACGCTTGTAATAAAAAGACATATTCTGTCTGTCCCTCTTTAACAGTACAGTAGAACCAGCCCTGCCATTGCCTAGAGTGACAAGGTGGCAGATAATGGGAGGAAGCAGCATTTGCACCTTCTCAAGTGTCTCTCCAATGTCTCACTACCTGACAAGTTTTGCTCTGCTGGAAGGGTTGTATCCCCTAAACTTGTCTTCTTCAATATGGCGGAAGATCCTATCCTGGACAGCATTGAAATAAGATTCACTTGGCAGTGGGGGAGAAAGGGCCCTTTACTCCTTTGGCATCAGCAGTTGAAATTCTCAGGCAATGGTGGGAAAACACAGAATTACAAATGAAGATATTAACCATCTCCAGGAAAATTCTGTGAATAAAATAAAGCAACTGAACAACTAGTAAGGTAGGTCTGTAAGTAAATGTCAGCAAAATAACAAGGATCCCAATGATTTTACAAAAGTATCAGCAAAATTAATCTCACTATTTCCTGACATTATACTGCTGATATTAAGAAAGCTTGGAGTTGCCATGTGTGGGGGTTTGTGCAGGACTGTGAGTCCCAGTCAGTCTTGGAAATCAAAATATTTGCCTGAGGTTGGAATGTTTAAATTCTAAGTATGTGTTTGCACCAATTTCCACGACGACATCAGTGGAAGATCCCACAAGCCCACGTTCTAACCATCATTGCGAAGTGTTGGAGGTAGGTTTTGCTTAGAGAAAGATCAATGACTACATATATTAGTGACTGGAAACTCCTATGGACTTTTTGCTGAAAAAAGAAAGAATTAAACTAGTGATTTATGCTTTGGTGATTAGAAAGCGTAGATTATGGAAAGAAGGAAATTAAGATGTAGCCTTAGAGAGGGTAAAATATAAATGTACTTATAACTGTTGTTAAGAAGATTGGAAGCGACTTCTTTATTATTTTTTCTTTTTTCTTTTTCTTTATTTTTGTTACTTTTGCTTTATTTCTTTTTCACTTTCTAATTACTTTTCCCTATTCTTTTTCTCTTTTTTTA